TCATAAAATGAGAATAAAACATACTGAAATAATTAAGGAATGGTGTATCTAAATAGGAATATCGATTTTAATATTTAGGGGTGTTACAACTCTCTCCCCCTCAAAGAAATTTCGTCTCAAAATTTACCTTACACTAGTCCCGAAACAAGTGTGGATATTGGGTCCTCGTGTCTTCTTCTCACTCCCAGGTAGCTTCTTTTCTAGAATGGTTTCTCCAATGTACTTTTACTAAGGGGATTCTCTTGTTTCTAAGTTGCTTTACTTCTCGAGCTTGAATTAGGATAGGTTCTTCTTTATACGTCAAGTCAGGATTAACCTCAATGATTCAACTGGAAGAACATGAGATGAATCAAAACGATATCTTCTGAGCATAAAACATGGAAGTCCTTGTGAATCTTGTCTAACTCAGGTGGCAAAGCTAATTTATATGAAACTGGTCCCACTCTTTCAAGTATCTCATAAGGTCCAATAAATCGGGGACTAAGTTTTTCCTTCATATCAAATCTCATAATCTTTTTCCATAGAGGCACCTTTAAGAATACTTTATCTCCAACTTTATACTCAATGTCACGCCTTCTAAGATCAACATACAAATTTTGTCTATTCGAAGAAATCTTTAGATGATCCTTGATCATTTTTACCTTGTCTTCCATTTTTTGCACAATTTCAGACCAATAAGCTTTCTTTCATCAATTTCACTCCAACAAAGAGGAGTTTGACATTTTCTTCTGTATAAGGCTTCATAGAGAGGCATTCCAATACTCGATTGGTAGCTATTATTATAAGCAAATTCTATCAACGCTAAGTGTTTGTCCCAACTACCCTCAAACTCCATAATGCAAGCTTGAAGCATATCCTCCAAAATTTGTACCACTCTTTCCGATGGACCATCTGTTTGAAGATGGAACGAAATGCTAAATTTCAACTTAGTACCCATGGTTTCTACAAGCTACCCCAAAATCTAGATGTAAACCTTGGGTCTCGATCAGATGTAATAGACATAGGGATCCTTTGTAGTCTTACAATCTCATTAATGTACAATTCAACTAAACGCTCAAGTGAGTAATCCATCTTGATTGCTAAAAAGCGAGCACTCTTTGTTAGCCTATCCACTATCACCTATATTGCATCATGATTTCTCTTCTCAATTTTTCATCATTAGGGAAGGGACACATAACCTATTTTGATAAAACAAGGTACCATCCTCCGTTAATACAAAATCAAGCTTTTCCCCATTTTGAACTTCTCTAGTCAATTTTATGAGTCTCTCATCTAACCTTTGCGCTTCTTTCACGTGTTCAAGTAATATTGGTTTGACTTGTAAATTAGCAATAACTGAACCATTTGAATCAATTGCAAAACAAACATTCATGTATCTTAACTCAAGATGTAAGGGCAACAGACTCAAAGTTAAGCTTGCGAAGGATTTTTTGACTTAAGGCATCAACCATCACATTGGTTTTACCTGGATGATAGTTAATCGTGCAGTCATAATCCTTGATGAGTTCAAGCCATCTACGTTGTCTTAGGTTCAGCTCCTTTTGTGTACCCAAGTACTTCAAGCTCTTGTGATCAGTGAATATATGATATTTTTCTCCATACAAATAATGCCGCCATATTTCTAAAGCAAACACTATAGCAGCAAGTTCAAGATCATGAGTAGGATAATTCAATTCATGTGGTTTTTATTTTCGAGAGGCATAAGAAATAACTTTCCCTTCTTGCATCAAAACACATCACATACCTCGATGAGAAGCATCACTATATATTATATACTATTTCCCCTCAATTGGTAGAGTAAGTATAGGAGCTTGTGTCAACAAAGATTTGCGAGTTTCAAATCTCTCTTGGCATTTGTTATCCCAAGTAAACCTTACTTCCTTCTTCAAGAGTTTATTCAAAGGTGAAGCGATAATGGAGAAGCCTTTCACAAATCTTTTATAGTACCCTGCTAAGCCCAAGAAACTTCTTACCTCATTCGGAATTTTGGGAGGTCTCCGTTCAACAATGGCTTAAATTTTACTAGGATCAACCTTTACACCTTCGGTTGATACAACATGTCCCAGAAAAGCCACTTCATTAAGCCAAAATTCACACTTGGAAAGTTTAGCTTAAAGTTCTTTCTCCTTCAAAATTTGCAAAGCAATCCGAAGGTGTTTATCATGGTCTATTAGAAGAAGAGGTCATAACTTATTTCCTTCAAAAGGGAAGATCACATTGCATTAGGGACATGTACTTTATGCATGTGCACTCTACATGCAATAAAAATATTATAAACCATGTAAGTGAACAAATAATATAACAAGAACCTTCTCAAAAGCGAAACGAGTATACAAGCAATTCACAACAAAATTCCTAGAACCACAAACTCAGGCTCTGATACCAATACTTGTAGCAACCTTCTCGGAATGATGCTACTACTTAACATGAAAACTAATATAATACTTGTACATTTAAATGGGATTAAGATATATAAATTATAATTCAATAGAGGAATTTAGCCACAAAAATAAAATGGTTGGTTGCCAAAAGTAAAAAGGTTGGCTACCCAAAATGTATATATATATACCTCACCTCCCTTTCAAGTTATAGGCAATTCTAATTAATATATTACGTAAATACCATAATACAATCCCTTAAATTACTGTCACAATTTATGTTACACAAATTTGCAAATATTACAAAATTTCGAGTTCCTAAAATGAGAATAAAACATACTGAAATAATTAAGGAATGATGTATCGAAATGCGAATATCGATTTTAATATTTAGGGGTGTTACATATAACATGTCTTCAAATAAATAAATAAATATCCCTAAATAGGATCATAGTCCGATGTTTTTTTTATGGGGAAAACCTAATTCAAAAAGATAATTATCTTTTCTTCTGATAATTTTTTATGGTGTTTCTAACTTATTTTGAAGATTCATTTTATTTTTTTGTATCGTTTGTTAATAGGTAAAAAAAAAGTTATGGGTCTAAGCAAAACAAATTCTTTCATTAGTTTCAAATTAATTTATAAAAGATCATTTTTCAAATTTTACTAATATACCACGCGAAGCGCGGGTAAGTTTACTAGTTCAAAGTAAAAAAAAAACCCAAAATCAAAGTGTTGTAGTGCTCCAAAACAAACATAACCTTGTAAAAGAAAATCTAGGAAAAATATTTGTAGACATCAAAATCATATCCCAAACAAACTAGGAAAGACTGAATTCGACAACTTTCACAGACTCATTTATGGGTCGTAGATCCTTCTACGAGTCATGGAGTCCTCTCATAAATGGCAGTGAATGCATAGTTAGGCTGGTAGAATGCACTCTTGAATTTCAAAATCCCATTGAACAACTCCTAGTTTTGTACTTAGTTATTGAATCCTGTTTTCCTACAAAATAACTACAAAAAAAATCAATTCTACTAAAACGCCCTAGAGAACTTACAAAAAACTTTAATTTTAAGCATTAAAAGTGTCGTATATCCACGACACATCAATTACCAAGTGTCTTTTCAAACAGACACAAGGTAAAGTTTATGGATTGACATTATGCATAATTGCTCAGTAAGTAATTAATACTTAAGGTAAAATATGAAAGAAAATAATTTTCTTCTCTTGATATATTAAGAGTAACAAACAAAAGTGAAAATTTATTTGTAGAATAATGCATAAACAAAAGTGTACGGTGTAGTAATTTCTTTGGAGTCGTTTGGTTTGAATACAAGTTATGATGACATTAATTATGATGAGAGAAGTTATGTTGGGATTAGTTATGACATGATAAATTATACGGAGATCACTTCTTATTGAGTGTTTGATTTGTTGTGTTCAAAATAATATGCATTCCATAAATGTTAAGAACAAGTTATTTATTTACAGAAATACATTTCATGAATGTGAAGAGTGATGCATAATAATGATTTAAAGGAACACCTTTGTCATTTACTATACCACCCAAGGAGAGGGATAACTTATTCCGGTACTAATTATTAATCTCGTGGAGTTATCTCAGACTTGCCAACTAAACAACAAATTAAGTGGCACTATAGTTTAATCTCATGGCTATTTGATGTTATCCTTCACACCAAACGACCCCTTAATGTGTTAAAATTGATAAATGTCCCCTCCATTTATTTTTACTTTCTTGTTCATAAAAGAAAAAAAAATATTTTTAAATTGACGGACAAGTAAAAGTGAACCAAAGAAAACAAGGAGATGCCATACAAAAGTGGTAGATGAAAAAAAGAGATAAGAGTAAAACACACACTTAAACTATCCATTTTTTTTAATTTCATACATAAACTATTGAGAGTGTGAGTATCATATCTAAACTACCACTTATTAGTTTGAGAAACACATTTGTGTAATACACTCTCTTTTATTTACAAAAATCTTTTCACTTGACATTTCACATGGATAAAATATTTCACCTTAACAAAAATTAAACAAACCATTAATATTAGTTATAAACTAAAGATTAAAGTATTAATATTCCCCAAAAAAATATTTTTTTATAAAATAAAATTTAAAATAAATTAGGAGCGGAGAGTTAGATGGAAAAAAAGTAAAATTAAATTAGGAGCGGAGGGTTAGATGGGGTGGGGTGAGAAAAACATTTAAATTTTATTTTATAGAGAAATTAATTTTTCGGAAATAGTAATAATTTAATCTTTAGTTTTTAACTAATATAATAGTTTGTTTAATTTTTGTTAAGGTGAAATATTTTATTCATGTGGAATGACAAGTGGCAAGATTTTTACAAATAAAAGAGAAAGTATATTACACAAATATATTTCTCAAACTAATAAGTCATAATTAAGATATGATATTCAGACTCTTAATAATTTAGATATGAAACTAAAATAAAAATAAAAAATTAGATGTGATTTGGACACTTTTACCTAAAAATAAAATAAAATAGAAAACAAGTGAAGTCAAAGGACTCACTTGGACAATAGTCAGTAAAACGTGGTGAGCATCTCCACAATCCCAAATTCAAAGTCGGATATATTAGACTAAAAAGTGGGTGAAGGAAGTTGACTGCATATTTCTGCTCCTACATTTCTCTCCTTCGTTTGTCTTCCCTAAAAATGGAGACAGTTGATTCCACTCGAGCATTTGTGAAGAACGTGAAACGAGTGATTGTCAAGGTCTCAACTTTATCCTCCAATTTCTTTTCCTTATTGCTTAATCCTTGCCCCCCTTTTTTTTTCAGATTGGAAATAATCGTTTACCCTAGAAAGATTTGACTTATTTACTCACTTGAACAACCTAAATACAATGACTATAATTTGACGTAGTTTCAGGCCGTGCTTAATGTATATATAGATGGATAGTTACTTGTACAATGTGTATTGCTTTGTTTGCTCCTTTTTTTTAGGCTTTTCGCTGACAAAATTTCATTTTTAAAGGTTGGGACTGCAGTTGTGACTCGAGCTGATGGAAGATTAGCACTTGGAAGATTAGGAGCGCTATGTGAGCAGGTGGATTTTTAAAATTTGTTTTGGTAGTTAGACTGTTTGCTAGTATCAATTGCATTGTTCTAAAGCTTAGTGGATTTGCTGCATACAGCTTCAGGATCTTAATTCACAAGGGTATGAAGTTATTTTGGTGACTTCAGGTGCTGTAGGTGTTGGTCGTCAGCGGCTTAGATATAGGAAGTTGCTCAATAGCAGGTTTCTACTATGTCCCTGTTGTCAAAAAATATATTTACTTGTAAATAGGTTACAATTAGAATTGTTAATCAACAAGTTCCGGCTAAATATAAGTTGACTTATTACTAGGAACTAAACTTCATGCTGCAGTTGATATTGAATTATGCATGAGTTAAGGTACTAGTTTAACACATTATATTAGTGAGGGTAGAAGAAAATATTAAAGTAATAAGAAAGGTGGTTTGATAGAAAAACACCACATTAGTGTTTAAACTTTGAATAGTTTAATATTTTTTTTTTTTTTGAAATTGGTAAATTGTATTCATCAGCATTAAGGGTATGCTGGCCACCTCCAAAAGAGAGCAATTACAAGCTTCCTATCAAATCTACAATCTGATCTACATCTTCTATACAAAGTAGTTTACACCAAAGAAGTAGAGCTTCAATACAATTCCATTTTACTTTATGTATGGAATAGTTTAATGAATTTGAGTTCTTGCAATTTGTATAGAGATATTATAGTGTCAGTCATTTTGGGATTTCTAAATGGAAAGAGTGTCATCGAATTTGGTTCTCAGGCAGTAACTCATTTCGTTTGTCATATCTATGTAAGTTGTACTAATGCTCTTAATAATGAAGTAATGAATTATACAAGTGCATCTTTATGAATAAGACAATAACTGAACAAGAATCAATAAGATTACTTTTTGATTTGGTGTATCGTGTATTACTGAAAAGGGGAATAAACTCTATCTATTATCCTTGGTGACAAGATCCAAATGATAGGATTTGAATTCCAGTACTTGCAAATTACTACTAACTTGCAAGTCATCATATTTGCAGTTTTCTTGATCTTCAAAAGCCACAAACTGAGCTTGATGGCAAGGCATGTGCTGCTGTGGGCCAGAATGGCCTCATGGCTCTGTATGATTCTTTGTTCAGTCAGGTTGACACACAGTTTTTGGAACTTTTTTGTTTGGTCTAACTCATTATCTGCTTATCATACACAAAACCATCCTTGGCAGTAAATATTATCTGCTGACTTTTTATTCTTTGTGCCATCTTTATACAGTTGGATGTGACATCAGCTCAGCTTCTGGTAACTGATAATGACTTTAGAGATCCAGATTTTAGGAGACAACTCAATGACACAGTAAATTCATTGCTTTCTCTAAAAGTTATACCTATATTCAATGAGAATGACGCTATCAGTACGCGGAGAGCTCCTTATGAGGTGTGTCTCTCTTTTACTATGTAGTTGCTGTCCTCTTGCTCCTTTTTATGAGAGTTCCTCCATTAGTAGATAGATCACAATGTTTCTTTCTGTAGAGCCTGACCAGTTGCATACACGTGTCTAGATCAATCCATGCGTTGGGCGTAAAAGTCCCCTAACTAATGTTCAACCATCTCTTTCAAATATTAACTTCACTATGCTTTGTTACTAATGTTCGTGCATCTCTTTCATATATTAACTTCATTATGATTTGTTACAAAGCATAATGAAATTATATGTATTTATATATATGACATATACGTGTATACTATCTGATTTAAGCTTCTCTTCATAAGTTCTCTGTAATTATTCTCAGTGTTGATTCCTGGGATTTGGAGGGGAATGGATTGAGATAGTGCATGTGGCTATGTACGTCATTTAAAATTGGTTCCTGCCACTTTGGCGCCTAATTTCATCTTTGCTTTGATGAGGTTTGGTTTGGTTGAATCCTGGTGTTGTCTTAAGCTGTAATATGATTTCGAGTTACAGCAAGTTTTCTAGATCCACTATTTTAAGTTAAAATCATTCTTTCAGCTCATAGTTCTATTGTAATAATGAACACTCCTTGTAGGACTCTTCTGGAATATTTTGGGATAATGACAGTCTGGCAGCTCTTCTAGCTTTGGAATTAAAAGCTGATCTTCTAGTTCTGTTGAGTGATGTAGAGGGTCTTTACAGTGGTCCTCCCCGTGATCCAGATTCAAAGTTGATTCACACATATATTAAGGAGACACATGAGAGAGTGATTACTTTTGGAGACAAGTCCAGGGTGGGAAGAGGAGGCATGACTGCCAAAGTAAAAGCTGCTATGTATGCTGCTTATGCTGGCATTCCTGTTGTCATAACCAGGTACAATACTAGTATTTACGCAATTCTAAATTTAAATTTTTATGTACATCAGTTGTACACATGTTCATTTAAAATATTTAAGTGATGTCTTCTTAAACGAGTTGATAAATTTTTGTGATGCTTCTTGTCTATGTGCTTTATCCTTTTCTTGTCAATAAAACAATGTAACTGTCCAAAGAGAAGCATTTAGGGTTGGTGTGCAGCAAAAGAGTCTGAATCAAAGTTGAATCTATAGCTCAGTTGAGGATGCACAAGTAAATGTGAGGTATCTGACTGGAGCTGAAAGGGAAAATGCTGTCATTGAGTCTGCATTCAAGTTGATTTTATAGCTTACAGTAGGGGAGACAGAAGAATCTGAAGTATTTTACTGGAGTTGAAAGTGAAAAACATGTCATTGTACTATGATAAAACATGATATTGATCTGCTGAAAGCACAAATAGGCACACAAGAAAGAAGAAAAAGTAAAAAATAAGATAAAAAAGAAGCAAAAACAAGAAAGAATATTAGGTAAACTGAGTTCTGCATTGCAAATCACGTGTTGTGTAGAATGCATTTTGAGAAGTATTAACATTTATTTTTTCTTGAAACTGGTAACTTTCAGAAGTATGAACATTCAACAAACACTTCCCTTTTTATCTATGGGATGTCAGGTCAAAACTTAGTTCATTACATAGAAAGATGCAACATTACAATCAAAAGAGATAACCTATTTGGGAATTGGCTTCAAATGTAGTATTTCTTGATTGCATCTGAGTTGATCGGCTTTGTGCTTGTTTGGCCATCCATTTCTGCCAGATCCAGTGCTCCTAAAATTACCCTATGAACCATGTGAGGCCAATTTGGTGCAAACTTCCATTTTGCTTCATCTTGATTAGGGAGTATCTGTTTCAATACCAATTGCCCCTCAGAGAGAATTGTCTAGGCCTTATCTTCTCATTGATCTCCTTGGTTATTCGATTTTGGTAAAGTTAACCATGAAACGTTCTCATCAATTGAGCATCAATTGTTCGTGTCTGCTTTATATCCATTTTGCATCATCCAGTCCAATAAAAGTACTAAATGTGAGCCAAATGATGGCTATATTTATGTCTTTTTGGCCTCACATCATGTACCTTTCTTCATATAGTGTGAACTTACTTGCTCAGATAGTAGATAACTTGTTCCTTTTTTTTTTTCCATCTCATCATGTTGTCCCAATACATATCCAATCACACCGTAAAAGACTGATAGGTACAACAACAATGATGGGCTCTGGTGGTACCACGACGAGTTGCTTGGACAAGTATATTTAATTCTGCCAAAGGCTTTATGACATTCTTCCGTCCACTCTGTAACTGCTTCCTTCTTCAACAACTTAAATAAGGGCTCACAAATTGCCGTTGGCTGTGCTATGAATCGACTATTATAGTTGAGTTCTCTGAGAAAACTCATCACCTCTTTCTTACTCTTTAGGGGAGGCAAGTCTTTAATTGCCTTGATTTTTGGAGCTTACAATGGATCCCAACTATTTTTCAGCAGGCATACCAAATGCGCACTCAATTTTTTTTTGAATGTGCACTTTGTTGGATTAAACTTTAGGTTGTATTTTTGCAGCCTTGCAAAGAACTTTTGTAGGTCTGTCAGATGCTTTGATCCCCCTCGTGACTTGATAATAACATCATCCACATAGATCTCTATCTCCTTATGGATCATGCCATGAAAAAAGAGTGGTCACGACCTTCATGTAGGTTGCTGACATTCTTTAGACCAAAGGGCATTTAGCAGTAGACTCCCCGTGGTGTAGTGAATGTTTTTTTTTTTCGGCATCATCCTCATTCATCAGGATCTAATGGTACCCAAAAAAACAGTCAACAAATGATTGCGTCTCATGTTTGAAACTGTTGTTAATGAGTGTATGGATGCTTGGGAGAGAGAAATCATCTTTGGTTCTAGCTTGGTTGAGATCCTTGTAGTCAACACATCCTGATCTTTTCATTCTTCTTTGGTACCAATATAATGTTGGCCAACCATGAAAGGTAGTTCATAATTGGTAACTTTGACGACATTGGTCTCTATCCGTTTGGTACCTTCTTCCTTGATTTTCAGGCTCAAGTCCGCTTTGAACTTCCTTGGCTTTTGTTTGATCGGTGGGGAAGTCGGATCAATCAACAGTCTGTGTGAGACAACGTTGGTTCTCAAATAGGCATATCGTTGTAAGTCTAGGCGAATATATTCATGTACTGTTTGAGCAAGTTCACGAACCCCTGCCTTTGCTCAACTTCCAAATAGATACTAATTCTGATTTCTTTCACCGACTTCTTGTCCCCCAGGTTGATCATTTTTGTTTCTTCCAATTTTTTTTTCTTTTTGACTTTCAAGTTGCCGTTCTTGGGGTAAGTGTTCATGCATCATATTTTCATCATACTCTTTGTAGTCTTGCTCATTGCCCATATTCGGTTCAACAATTTCATTACTAATAATCATAGGACAAATATATTTACTAATTTGAGTGTTGAATAAAGAGAAGTAGGCATAGTAAAAGAAATAGAATAGTGAATAAAGTGAAATTTGCATAATAATTGAAAAGTAAGGATGCCGCTTCATTAAGGTATTGTTAAGAAAGTAAGGGGGGGGGGGAGGCGGATTGGAGGGTTTGGTGGGTATAATTTGAGGTAGAGGGTTGGTAGTGTTAGGAGGTGTTTGTGGGGATAGTTGCATATGGGTGTGTCGACGGGAAATGTTCGGGAATTGCAAATTCCAATGATGCAATGCAGGGAAAGTTTGGTGAAGTGTTCATGGGTGAGGTTAGTCAAGTCCCTCACTTGGTGTAGTTCTCCTTTCAATATCTCCTGAAGTTGCTTTAGGTGAGCGGTTTGTTTGTCGTTCCGCGTATTGGTTCTTCCCTTCAAACTATTGAGAACTTCTTATCAGTTTTGCTGAATGAATCCTCTCAAATGAGAGTTCTTCCATTAAATAGAAAGAATTCTGATTTACATGCCTAAAAATCTGCTATATATCCCTAAATATATGCTATTCCTAATTGTAATATCTCTGAAAATATGCTACATTAATCTATGCTATCTCCTATCATCATTACACAAATATTTATAGTTATAACATAGATATGTACAGATATTTAGAATATGTCCAATCATGCTAACATCCCCCCTCAAATTGATGCCGGTGGATCAAAAAGCGTCAATTTGCCTACCAGAAACGGACGACGTTGTGGTGCCATAGACTTTGTAAACACATCAGCTATTTGAAGATCACTCGATACATGTGGAAGAGTAATGACTCTTATCTAGAGAGAAGCTTCTCTGATATAATGGCAATCCACTTCAATGTGTTTGGTCCTTTCGTGATAAACTGGATTAGTAGCAATTTGAATAGCACTTGTGTTGTCAGCATGGAGAGGAGTGGGATTAGATTGAGGAAATCCAATTTCTGCAAGTAACCTACGAAGCCAAACAATCTCAGAGCAAGCAGTAGACATTGCTCGATATTCAGACTCAGTGGAAAATTTTGATACACGGTCTTGCTTCTTGCTCTTCCAAGATATCAAGGAATCTCCAAGAAACATGCACCAACCCGTGACAGAGCGACGAGTATCAGGACATCCAACCTAATCAGAATCACTAAATGCATTAAGCTGAATCTCAGAACCACTAGGAAAGAATAATCCACGAGTAGATGTTCCCAAGAGATATTGAATGATGCGACGGACATCCACCAAATGTAGATGGGTGGAGCCTGCATAAATTGACTCACTTGTTGAACTGCAAAAGAGATATCAGGCCGAGTAATAGTAAGATAATTTAGGCTCCCAACTAATTGCCGATACAAAGTTGGATCAGGAAGAAGATCTCCTTTCGCACGACAGTACTTTACATTCAATTCCAATGGAGTATTTATAGAGGAAGATTCTTGAAGACCAGCCAAAGCAATCAAATCCTGAGTATATTTGTGTTGGTTCAAGAACACACTTAAAGATTTATAATGAACTTCTAACCCCAAAAGTATGTAAGAGTACCAAGATCTTTCATATGAAAAGAATCCTTAAGTTGCTGATGGAGGCTAGTGATTAGTGAAGAATCAGTTCTTGTGATAATAATGTCATTACACCAAAAGAAGAACACAACCTGCAGATGTTTTTCGAAGAAACAAAGACGAATCATATTTGCTTTGCTCAAAAGAGAATTGAAGCAAAGTAGACCGAAACTTGTCAAACCAAGCTCTTGGAGCTTGTTTTAATCCGCATAAAGACCGCTTCAACTTGCATACATCTGATGTAGGTGATGAGAACAAACCAGGTGGGGGTTTCATATAAATATCTTCTTTGAGATCACCATGAAGAAAAGCATTCTTGACATCCATTTGATGAAGAGGCCAATTTTGTGATGCAACAATGGCAATAATAGTTCGCACCGTAGTCATTTTTGCTACAGGTGCAAAAGTCTACTCATAGTCTACACCATACTCCTGTTTGTTGCCAAGGACCACCAATCGAGCTTTGTACCGATCAAGAGTTCCATCAGAATGAAGTTTAATTGAATAAACCCATTTACATCCAATTGGACGGACATTTGGAGGACAAGGAACAACGTCCCATGTGTTCTTTTCTTTAAGAGCCAAAAGTTCCTCCTCTATTGCCTTTTGCCAACATTCAAGCTTGGAGGCTTGTGAGTAACCTGTTGGAATAGAGATGGTGGATAAAGTAGAAGAAAAACCATACCGTTTAGGAGTTTGAGACACTCTAGTAGATCGCCGAGGAGGCTCAAGAGGAGCAGACCTTGAAGAAATCTCAGATTCTGGTTGTGGAGCAGTCTCAGGTGGCGGATCTATTTCGGGATGGGGTAAAGTTGGCCGACGTCGTTCATACACAAATCCTAGTTTGAATCGCTTAGAAGACAATGACAAATCCTCAAAAGTAGGAAGAAGAGGAGAGACAGAAGATGACTCAACATGAGTAGGAAAGAAATACTGATTCTCAAAGAAATAACATTTCTAGAAACATGAA